TGCTCCGGTTTCCCCTACCACTAAAAATATGTACAATAGGTCTGGCATGTGCCTCCTGTACTGGCACCCCCACTCCCAAAAAATAACAATTGTAAACTGCTTTGAGACTCCGATGTGCAGTGAAAAGGCGGTATATAAATAAAAGATTACTTACTTACTTACTTACTTACTTGCAGACCCGTATAGATCCATGGGAGAGACCAGTGCAGACCCGTCCATGGGAGAGACCAGTGCAGACCCGTCCATGGGAGAGACCAGTGCAGACCCGTATAGATCCATGGGAGAGACCAGTGCAGACCCGTATAGATCCATGGGAGAGACCAGTGCAGACCCGTATAGATCCATGGGAGAGACCAGTGCAGACCAGTATAGATCCATGGGAGAGACCAGTGCAGACCAGTATAGATCCATGGGAGAGACCAGTGCAGAGCCGTATAGATCCATAGGAGAGACCAGCGCAGAGACTCAGCGCGGATCCCGTAACCTCCTGCAGCAGCAGTATATATGCCATTGTTCTGTGGCCCGTGGATAAAGAAATGCCCCCTATAAATAGGAAGGGGTCACTAATACACGGCAAGATTCCCAATGTATTTGATAAAGCGTTGGCACATTTCATTTAAAAATCAATTAAAAAATAGGCCAGATCTGCAGTGAAAAAGGCGGTATATAAATAAAGATTACTAAAAATAAATAAATACATACATCAATATGACAAACATATCACTGTAATGTTGTGTTTTATTGAACTTCACAACCCCAGCGTGTGAACATGTCGGCACTGAATGCGTACGAGTGCTCCTGAGGACTCGTAGGATTTATACTTGCCCAAGAGAAATTCTGGTTACGAGAAAAATTCGTGAATGCCACTTTCTGCCACGTAAGTAGGATTTACGTACAAATCAGTTCCTAAGAACCGTTCGTGAATGAGGCCCAATGTTCAGATTTAGATTCAGATTCGATTTATTCAGACACTTTGACATTAATTACATGAAAATAGAAAAAATATACACGTTTTGTCTGAAGTGACATAGGCAAAAGCTAAATCTTATTGTGCCTCTCCTTATTTACAAAACAACCACAACAAAAACAGAAATGTTTTCAATTTTCCTTTAAATATGATAATAATGATAAACAAAACATGAAGCTGTCTTCCATCATTTCATAGACCGGAGTGATGAAGGCGCTTTACAATAGTTTTGGGCATTCGTTTCTCCGTCCACACAGAGACGGAGCAGGTCGCCGGCAGGAGGGACATGCCAGAACACAGGGAAACCGGAGCACCCAGAGGAAACCTGCACAGACACAGGGAGAACTCCACAAAGAAAGGCCTGGAGGTGGCAGAAGATATCGATCTTTCAGAAGCAGGAAATCTCGTTTTGCTAACAGCTTCTTTCCACAAACTGTTATCAGAGCACTTTGTTGATCTCACCTTTGTAATAAAACTGTTTTAGTTTGAAAGATTTCACAAACACACAAATGTTCCTGCATTTTTTTTAAGTCTTGTGCACACTGGGGACTTTGGCAAATGCATTCCAATGTTGTTTTTACTGAAAATAGAAAATAAACGAACCTGAATCTAACCCAGTACCTTCTTGCTAACAAAACTAACCATGCTAACCACTGCGCCACCGTCCCGTACACTAAAAAACTATCACATGACACACCCGGCAGTATTCAGGTTGACAAGTGCATTATGTGCCCTAAATTCTCCTGATGGCTTATCGTGTGCGTAAATTCCCCTAATACCATGGATTTTGACTGCTCCACATTTTCCGATCACTTTCACTTCTAAATATTCCATGACAAGATGAAGGTTCTCTTGCTCATGATTAAAGACCAAAGAAAAGTCCTAATTACGTGTCATTTTGTGGTTAATATCTTTGCGTTTTTGTTTTTTTCTTCCTTCGGTCAGACTCCTGTGCTTCATTTAAATTAGTCATGAAAACTAATTTGCATATATGTTGGCTAATTAGAGGACATCGACAACATCTGACAATGGAAGTGGCGTCCCCATAAAGCAGCGACGTCTCTTGCCTTGTCTCTGTACTGCTTTTAATTGACAGCTCAAGTCTTTGCAAAACAGTGTCATAACATTAGTATGCCAGAACTTTAGTATTCGACTGTGTTTAAGATACAACCCGTATTTTTCTGTGCATTAATTCTTCCACTACAGCTCAAAAATCTATGTTCGGAGAAAACGCAGACTCTTGTAAACACAATTCGTATGATAATAATATGCTTTGTTGTTGAGTTTAGGTTTGAGAGAGGCATCCACGAGAAAAGACAGAACCGAACAGCCAAATGATTTAAATCTTTTGTCCAACACAGAAGCAGAAAAACAACATTTGCAGCCAGCGTTTGTTGCGCTCAAATGGCATCAACACACGTAAAATATTAAGCGCCAGAAAGAGACACAAAAGAAAAGCCGAGCAAAGACGAAAGCGAGTTTATCTCGCGCCATTGTTGCAAAATGTGCCGTGGCTCCGGGGCCCGGGACCCAAACAACTGTCATTTGCACAAATCACAACAGGCTTTGGGTAATTGTAGCCTTGTTATGACAGCCATTTCCAGACACTTCTTGCAAAATGGATCTGGTTTGAGTTTCCCAAATGGACTAAATGATTGAAGATGCCTCCCTTCACTCCCTGCATATTAGCGTGAGCGTCATCAAAGCCGCGGAGTCGTGAGAATATCGGCATTGACAAGGTAGTTATGCAAATGTCTACGGCAGCAGAGGTTTACTTCCTTGTTTTTTTCTGTTTCTCCCCTCGCACTAGAACAACCCCTCGGGCTGTTTTTCTAGCAAGCCACTGAAAAACGCGCGCCGTCCTGTCACAATGTTGGATGCCCGCTAGCCTTGCATTATCCGTTGTACTCTCAGATTAATGGGGCAATTGATCATTTAGGGCGACTCGTGCATCCCGTACGAGCCCCTGATCACTCACCTACAGCAGCCCGGGACATGGAAGGCGCCGACCGGACACGCTTCTGCTCGAAATGATTACACGCAACGTTCAGGGCTCGAGCTGCGACGGGAGGAGAGAGAGAAAAAACAGGGTCTGACAGCGTTGACATTGATAGGGGATAGAGGCAGCACCAGGAAGGACTCGACAGGACAGAATGGGTGAAAACACAGGTGTTAGTTTGGATCAAACGGCCGACAAACGCACGGTTAGATTTAATGGTACACACTCCAGGAGCCTTCACACTAGATGGTATAGATCGCTCTAACGATGGAGTGCCTCACATCGATGCTTTGAGCTGGAAAGTGGACGAGAACGGGCAAAGGAAGAAAGGATTTTTAGTATCTGCTGAGGTCTAGGTACAAGTACGAGGCTAAGAGCGATTGGTATTTGTTTGTGGGATTGTCAGAGTCATGAGGGTGAGACGCTGGGAGTTTCCAATCCAGAATGAAAGCGTCCTGTCCAATGGATTGTGTCAGAGCAGCTGAGTGTTACTCTATGTTGGTGAGAAATAAGTCAGTAGTTTATATAGCGCCTTTCTCAGTGGGCATTTGTCTCTCACTCCACACAGAGATGGGTCAGTACATGAGGCGCATGCCAGACCTATTGTGCATGTTTTTAGTGGTAAGAGAAACCGGAGCACCCGGAAGGAATCTACTCGACACGGGGAGAACATGCAAACTCCACTCAGAAAGGATTCGAACCCAGGACCTTCTTGCTGAGAAGCGAAAGTGCTCTCCTCTCAGCCGCTGTGTGGGGAAGCTGGCCCGAGCGTGAAAATGAGACGGCAGAACTCGTAAGAAAAAGTGTAAATCAGCGATTTGTTTTGGACAAAGCAACAGTCCTGTGCCTTAGGTGTATCTCTTCTGACGAGGTTCACCTGTGAGCCTTTGTCATTGTAGCTCCGCCCACATGGGTTGGCCCACAATACAAACTGGCTGTCTGATACACGCCCTCTTCAACAGGTACAAAATACATTCATTAAAAGTGGCATTAAAAAGGTGACAAAGTAACCTGCTTTGCCACACACTGTGATATGAATATTATTGAGCATACAGTTTTCTATTGCTACTACAACTACTATCAATCACATTTATAAAGAGCTTTTCATACAGAAAATACAACAGTGCTCGCCAATTTGGTGTAAAAACAATCCAGCATGTCCTTGATCCCTCAAACCAACAAACCCACCCTGTATATGTGCCCATATATGAGCGTTCTCAGCGGCCCTGAGCTACGGGACTACTGCTACTTCTACTGCTACTTCTGCTGCTACTTCTACTGCTACTGCTACTTCTACTACTACTGCTACTTCTACTGCTACTGCTACTGCTACTTCTACTGCTACTGCTACTTCTACTGCTACTGCTACTTCTACTGCTACTTCTACTGCTACTGCTACTTCTACTGCTACTGCTACTGCTACTTCTACTGCTACTTCTACTGCTACTGCTACTTCTACTGCTACTTCTACTGCTACTGCTACTGCTACTTCTACTACTACTGCTACTTCTACTGCTACTGCTACTGCTACTGCTACTGCTACTTCTACTGCTACTGCTACTTCTACTGCTACTTCTACTGCTACTGCTACTTCTACTGCTACTGCTACTTCTACTGCTACTTCTACTGCTACTTCTACTGCTACTTCTACTTCTACTACTACTTCTACTGCTACTTCTACTGCTACTGCTACTTCTACTGCTACTTCTACTGCTACTTTAACTGCTACTGCTACTGCTACTTCTACTGCTACTTCTACTGCTACTTCAACTGCTACTGCTACTGCTACTTCTACTGCTACTTCTACTGCTACTTCTACTTCTACTGCTACTTCTACTGCTACTTCAACTGCTACTGCTACTTCTACTGCTACTTCTACTGCTACTTCTACTGCTACTTATCGACAAGTGTTTTAATCTTGAACATTTCTCTAATTCTCTTCTTCTTGGTGTTCCCGCGGAGGTCACATTGCAGAGCTGAGTCCACAGGCGTTTGCAGCAGGTGTTGGGAGACAGGATGAAGCGTTTGAACGATCTAAAGGCCCAAAAACGTGACAGCGGCAGAGCTCAGCCATCTGCGCTGACTCTTAACTCTCACACGCTCGTAAACACAGGTGCAGGTGACGGAGGAGCTGTGTCCAGGGAAGAAGTGGCCGATCTGTTCAGAAAATACACGTTTTAAATAACAAGAAATAGTATGCAATTGTGTGTTTTTAACAAAGGACAATGATATTATTTCCTTTGTCATGTCATGTTGTACTTGTGCATGTTTTACCATCAGACAATTGTAAAAGGCTATTTTCAAAATTAAAAACGGGTTGAACTACAAACATCTAATTGTGCTCCAATATCTTAGAAAATTATAGGGTTGAGTAGAACATATATGGAGAAATGGTGAAGTTTGCGGGTAAACAATATTCTTGACCTGTCATATCCCTCCACTACCACCAGAGGGGGGCGTAGAATGTATTTGTATGTTGTTGAATTTAAAAATTACCGGCTGCAACTTCCATGTGGTTGCAAAAAACACATTTCACATTGTAAAGCATTTTGGGTGAGCGTGGTCTGTGAAATGTACTGTACAGATGAAGATGACTTACTTTATAAACCAATTTCCTGACTCACCAACTCATTTGTTGGCAGTACTTGTGTTTTTAAATCCACAAATCTGCTCCGAGCGTGATGTCATAGCGGTACAATGACATCAAACAGGACCAGAGTTACATTTTAGTGCCAGAAGTTCCTGACTACGGCACGGACGGGTCTGAAAACATTTAACGTCCTCTCAAAATGACAATAATCTCGGACATGTTTGTTCATAGATGAATATGACATTTATCAACATTTTGTTCTAAATTGTTTAACTTTTTTTAAAAATATTATTATTATTTAACATCATGTGATACAAATTCCAAAACATAATTTACTATGTACAAGACAGTAGTGCAGGATAAGTTGGTGGAGGAGGGAAAGGGTCCAGCGCAATGACCAAAGAAAATGATAATTAATAAAAATGAAATTAAGGATGTATAAAAAAAGACAAGTACTGTCATGGAAATGCTTTATGTAGGTGCTGATGTGTAAATGTATTTGTATATATGTATGTGTGATTATGCATGTTTGAAAATCAATAGAGAACAATTGGTCATTCTTCTCCCTTTGGACCAATGGCTCTTACAGTATATATTTGTTATTCTCGTATTTCTTGTGTTTAAACTGTGTAATTCTCTGATCTCTTCGTAAAGTCCTGAGACGACTGCCGCTGTGGTTTAGGGCTGTAACAAAAACAAATTGAATTGAGTTTATGACATTTGGCCCTTTGTCCAAAACATACATATTCACATCGCCCACCGAGTGCATCAAGTAAGCAAAATACTTTCCACACTAGGAGTTATGTACCGTAGCTGCATTAAATATCACCGAACCTTAAAAACGAACCAAAGCCAGATGTCTTTCCGCACCTGGGCACTGGAAACATCTCCGTCGCCACATTTCATTTTCAAAACACTGCTTTTGGAGAAATGAACCTCTCTCAAAGCAGCGGAGACGTGGCCCCGCGATGTTAGGGTTCGCTAGCTGCTAAGTCGCTCCGAGCAAGATGCAACAAATGGAATGCAGAATTGAAATGCCAAAATCTGTCTGACCCGGGAGTGAACTCGACGGTAGAGTGTTTGAGAGAGGGCTTCGCGAAAACGAGGAGAGAGGGAAGAAGGGTTTGCAGAAAATGCTACTTGATGAACGGCAACTGAAAGAGGATTGTGCGGCATTTGTCTTTTTGTTCCCACCAAATCTAGCGACAGTTATCACAAAACTGTTCAATAGGACGTGGCTTTCATGTGAGAAGGTTGTAAAAGTACAAGTCATTCCAGGGTCGATATTTTGCACTGAAGGTCTTACCATCAAGGTTTGGACTTTCACACCGGCTGTTCTTTCCTATTTAAAGTTGTCCTTGTACAAAAAAAACGTATTTGAAAATGCAAATATCTCTCTGCACAGATTATAAAATAGCTTAAGTCTATCACTATACATGTATTTCACTATATCTGGACCACACTGTGACTTTTAAACACCAACTCTGAAAGTGAGTCTTGTTATTTTTCCTTGTGGGGAAAAGTCGACACGGGTCCAAACAACTCGCAAACCAGTCCCACTGTTTCCCAGAGTCGACACAGGATTCAAAACAGGTCATACAACAAAAGGCTGCTGTGTGAAAATAACTTCTATTCCTCCAATGTTAGCCTGGTCTTACCACACCATAGGACTCATTTCAGTTCGTACTAAGGCCTGGGTTTGCTCCACTGACAGGAAGGAGGGGTTTACTCCTTTTGCAGATTGAAACGATTAGGTCTGAGATTACGTATGTGAGTGACGTATGTAATGCGCATTTAGCATGTAGCCTAGCTTTAGCATGTAGCCTAGCTTTAGCCGTCTCCTTTGCCACTAATGGAGCCCGAGGAGAGTAGAGCCACAACATCTTTGCAGCAATGACATTTGATAAACATTCTTCATCTCTTTATATTTGGAGCTGAACCAGAACGGATTACTTTACTATCGCATTCTCCGCCAAACTAAAACCAGCAAATTTCCTCCCCCGCTCTCTGATTGGTCGGAGGAGATTTAACCGAGGAAACTGCAGCCACTAGGATCAGACCCAGACGTACATGTAGGAAATGATCATGGACCAGAGTTTACACATGGTAAGACCAGACGTACATGTAGGAGATGATCATGGACCAGAGTTTACACATGGTAAGACCAGACGTACATGTAGGAGATGACCATGGACCAGAGTTTACACATGGTAAGACCAGACGTACATGTAGGAAATGATCATGGACCAGAGTTTACACATGGTAAGACCAGACGTACATGTAGGAGATGACCATGGACCAGAGTTTACACATGGTAAGACCAGACGTACATGTAGGAAATGACCATGGACCAGAGTTTACACATGGTAAGACCAGACGTACATGTAGGAGATGACCATGGACCAGAGTTTACACATGGTAAGACCAGACGTACATGTAGGAAATGATCATGGACCAGAGTTTACACATGGTAAGACCAGACGTACATGTAGGAAATGATCATGGACCAGAGTTTACACATGGTAAGACCAGACGTACATGTAGGAAATGATCATGGACCAGAGTTTACACATGGTAAGACCAGACGTACATGTAGGAAATGATCATGGACCAGAGTTTACACATGGTAAGACCAGACGTACATGTAGGAAATGATCATGGACCAGAGTTTACACATGGTAAGACCAGACGTACATGTAGGAGATGATCATGGACCAGAGTTTACACATGGTAAGACCAGACTTACATGTAGGAGATGATCATGGACCAGAGTTTACACATGGTAAGACCAGACGTACATGTAGGAGATGACCATGGACCAGAGTTTACACATGGTAAGACCAGACGTACATGTAGGAGATGACCATGGACCAGAGTTTACACATGGTAAGACCAGACGTACATGTAGGAAATGATCATGGACCAGAGTTTACACATGGTAAGACCAGACGTACATGTAGGAAATGATCATGGACCAGAGTTTACACATGGTAAGACCAGACGTACATGTAGGAAATGATCATGGACCAGAGTTTACACATGGTAAGACCAGACTTACATGTAGGAGATGATCATGGACCAGAGTTTACACATGGTAAGACCAGACGTACATGTAGGAAATGATCATGGACCAGAGTTTACACATGGTAAGACCAGACTTACATGTAGGAGATGATCATGGACCAGAGTTTACACATGGTAAACCAGACGTACATGTAGGAGATGACCATGGACCAGAGTTTACACATGGTAAGACCAGACGTACATGTAGGAGATGACCATGGACCAGAGTTTACACATGGTAAGACCAGACGTACATGAAGGAAATGATCATGGACCAGAGTTTACACATGGTAAGACCAGACGTACATGTAGGAAATGATCATGGACCAGAGTTTACACATGGTAAGACCAGACGTACATGAAGGAAATGATCATGGACCAGAGTTTACACATGGTAAGACCAGACGTACATGTAGGAAATGATCATGGACCAGAGTTTACACATGGTAAGACCAGACGTACATGTAGGAGATGACCATGGACCAGAGTTTACACATGGTAAGACCAGACGTACATGTAGGAGATGACCATGGACCAGAGTTTACACATGGTAAGACCAGACGTACATGTAGGAAATGATCATGGACCAGAGTTTACACATGGTAAGACCAGACGTACATGTAGGAGATGACCATGGACCAGAGTTTACACATGGTAAGACCAGACGTACATGTAGGAAATGATCATGGACCAGAGTTTACACATGGTAAGACCAGACGTACATGTAGGAGATGATCATGGACCAGAGTTTACACATGGTAAGACCAGACGTACATGTAGGAAATGATCATGGACCAGAGTTTACACATGGTAAGACCAGACGTACATGTAGGAGATGACCATGGACCAGAGTTTACACATGGTAAGACCAGACGTACATGTAGGAGATGACCATGGACCAGAGTTTACACATGGTAAGACCAGACGTACATGAAGGAAATGATCATGGACCAGAGTTTACACATGGTAAGACCAGACGTACATGTAGGAAATGACCATGGACCAGAGTTTATACATGGTAAGACCAGACGTACATGTAGGAAATGACCATGGACCAGAGTTTACACATGGTAAGACCAGACGTACATGTAGGAAATGATCATGGACCAGAGTTTACACATGGTAAGACCAGACGTACATGTAGGAAATGACCATGGACCAGAGTTTACACATGGTAAGACCAGACGTACATGTAGGAAATGACCATGGACCAGAGTTTACACATGGTAAGACCAGACGTACATGTAGGAAATGACCATGGACCAGAGTTTACACATGGTAAGACCAGACGTACATGTAGGAGATGACCATGGACCAGAGTTTACACATGGTAAGACCAGACGTACATGTAGGAAATGACCATGGACCAGAGTTTACACATGGTAAGACCAGACGTACATGTAGGAAATGACCATGGACCAGAGTTTACACATGGTAAGACCAGACGTACGTGGCTAAGGCTAAGGCTACTTCAACTTGAACCAAGCTCGTTCTTCCCTCAGTCCAGATGTTTCATTGGCCTCCATCACCCGCCCACCGTCACATATTCATTTCCTCATTTATTTAATTTCAATTCATTTTTAATCCCTTCGTGGGCGGGACCGTCTGTGTAATCCCGTAGAGCACCGCTTTTCTCCGATCCCAATTACTGTAAATTACTGAGGGGAAATCAAACTTTTCCAACTTCACCAAACTTGTGTATTTTATTGAAACCGTGGAACCTTCGAGAGTCGAGTCTGTTTGTTTCCTGGAATTCAAACACTTAACTTTGAAATGCCTGATACTTTGGCCTGAGAGCTTCTTTTTAGTCTGAAACATGCTGTTCTAAAGCTGTGACAAAGGCAGGGAAGTACTCACTCTATTCTTAAAGCTTGTCTTGTAAAAGTAAGTTATTTAATTCATCTTATGATAAAACAAAGAACCCTGTGAGTGACTATCGATGCTTTGAATTGAGATATGATTGGCTAAGAGAGGGTGGATCTCCAATCTCTCTTTTCTGTCTGGAAAAAGAAAAAAACTAATCTATATATGTGCCTGAGGCTATTAATGCAGTCACGTGAAAACCAGTGATAAACCAGTGATAAACCAGTGATAAACCAAAGATAAACCAGAGATAAACCAGTGATAAACCAGTGATAAACCAGTGATAAACCAGTGATAAACCAGAGATAAACCAGAGATAAACCAGTGATAACCCAGTGATAAACCAGTGATAACCCAGTGATAAACCAGAGATAAACCAGTGATAAACCAGTGATAAACCAGTGATAAACCAGTGATAAACCAGTGATAAACCAGTGATAAACCAGAGATAAACCAGAGATAAACCAGTGATAACCCAGTGATAAACCAGTGATAACCCAGTGATAAACCAGAGATAAACCAGTGATAAACCAGAGATAAACCAGTGATAAACCAGTGATAAACCAGAGATAAACCAGTGATAAACCAGTGATAAACCAGTGATAAACCAGTGATAAACCAGTGATAAACCAGTGATAAACCAGTGATAAACCAGTGATAAACCAGAGATAAACCAGAGATAAACCAGTGATAACCCAGTGATAAACCAGTGATAACCCAGTGATAAACCAGAGATAAACCAGTGATAAACCAGAGATAAACCAGTGATAAACCAGTGATAAACCAGAGATAAACCAGTGATAAACCAGTGATAAACCAGTGATAAACCAGAGATAAACCAGTGATAAACCAGTGATAAACCAGTGATAAACCAGTGATAAACCAGTGATAAACCAGAGATAAACCAGTGATAAACCAGTGATAAACCAGTGATAAACCAGTGATAAACCAGTGATAAACCAGTGATAAACCAGTGATAAACCAGTGATAAACCAGTGATAAACCAGTGATAAACCAGTGGGGGCGGGTCCCAGCTCAAAAATGTCCAAAATGACGTGCGCTGTGACGCTTGCAATACCGCCCCGGGCCTGTGGGGGTGGACTCTGTATGAGAATTATCCAATGCTAATATATATCATCTTCTTACTGTTTTTACAGGATGTTACAGATGCCGTTGATGCCGAGGGGAGTGTAGTTTTTGGACCAGTCTAGTTTAGTCGCTGTGGACTTTGGAATGCACTTGTTAAATGAATGGGGCTCGTGCAGCTAACACATGCGCAAATGCGATTTTTCACAATTTCCAGCCCCCGGGGCCATTTCCAAAATGCCCATAGACGGCGAAAGTGATGTCACATTAGTTTCAACCGCGGAGATTAATGTGATTACGTCCGTTAATATTTACAGAGGACCTAGATACATGGATTTTATTTTCAAGATTGTGTGGTTCGAGTCAGGTTAAGTCAGGTTCCCCAGCTTTAAGTGTGTTTGTGTCTGTATGAATATGGTTGTTTAAATAATTCACCAAATATTGAGATTGTGACCATAAACAACACATATATTATTGTGATCACAAGATCACAATATTATCTCACCGCTTGAGTTAAAAGTCTGTATAATACGTCTGTCCAATGGGAGACTTTCATTTTTCAATCTACTGTATGTTTACGTCTATATTTTCCATGCATTGACTTGAACTGTCAGCATTTTCTGTTAATTAACACTCCAAACAGTACCTGAGGCAGGGCGCACTCACAAAGGACACATTCAGCTTTATTACATGGCAACAATAGGACGAGTGTGTTTTGTAGAATGCATCCTGGGATTCACTTTCGGCCAAAACTAAGACACGCAGCTTCACACAAAGGTAAATGAAGCAACCACTTCACTTCAGACATAACTAGAATACTGTGTTGAGTTGAAAAGAGCCTCCATGTTTTACTGCAGCAGCTGAGAGTCCTTTTATATGTCCCATAATAACTAGTCAGGAATAATTTAGGAAGTGGTTGTGTGGTTGTTGGAAGACGGTGGAGTATTGAGAGCCTGGAGTCTTAAAGGAGCCATATTGATTTTATAGTAAAACACTGGATGGTTAGCGGCACATAATTCTCTGCTTCCTGTTTGACTCGTGTAAAGAGCCATAAATGTGACCGTGAGAGGTTAGAGTACTGCGGGGACTGAGTGGTTACTACAGTCAAGGACACATACTGCATTTATACGAGTCAAATTTGAGTTGTGAGCCGTTCATATGAGAAATCGTCCCCTACTGTCCAAATGCTCCTTTCTCAAACTTAAATGAAGATAAAGATTATTATTATTATTATTCAGCCTTTTTACAGGTGGAAGTGGGGAAAACCATTACTCCACATGCTGGGTTTTACAGTCATCTCTAACTGCAATTTTGTTACTAAAATACCAAAATAAATATTCTCCAGATCAGGACCATTGTGGCCAAACATTGTGTCTAAAGCAGACTTGGAGATTCTTATCCACGCATTTGTCTCCAGTCGATTGGACTACTGCAATGGCTTGTTCACAGGTCTCTCTAAACAAGCGGTAAAACAGCTGCAGTACATCCAAAATGCTGCAGCTCGAGTCCTGACTAGAACCAGGAAGTACGACCACATTAGTCCGGTCCTCAGGTCTCTGCACTGGCTTCCTGTGGCTCAGAGAATAGATTTTAAAGTAGCTTTACTTGTGTACAAGTCTCTCCATGGCCTCGCACCAGGGTACATCCGCGACATGTTGGTGCCATATGAACCAACTCGGGCTCTGAGGAGCACAGGGACTGGACTTCTGTTAGTGCCAAGAGTCGGAACTAGACATGGGGAGGCTGCGTTTCAGATTCATGCAGCTAGAGTCTGGAACCGTCTTCCCGAGAGTGTGAGACAGGCGTCTACTCTAGCAGTTTTTAAAACTGAACTGAAAACAGTTCTTTTTAGCTGTGCATACAAGTGAAAGATTTTATATTTGTTTTTATCTTTAATCTTTTTAATGCGCTATGATTATTTATGATTATTTATGATTGTAATCCCTTGTGTGATTTTAATGTTTTACGGTTTTTAACTACTTGTGTGATTTTATATATCTTGTGCTCTTAATCTGTCTTTTTATGTTTACTTAAATTCTAATGTTTGATGATTTATGCATGATGTTATAGGGGTTGTGAGGCGCTTTGCGTTGCCTTGTGTAGGAAAGGCGCTCTACACATGAATGTTGACGTACATTTAATATGTGTTTTATTGATTCATATTATTTAGAGCAGGGGTCTCCAACCGGAAACTACCAGGAGCTCTGGCTCGGAAACTACCACTGGTGATGTGTGTTCTCCTCTCAATTGTATTACGACCCTGTTTCTGTTTTATAGAAAGTAGCTCAATATACCCAGAATTGAATCAGCATTTTTAGACCAAAGTAGTGATAGAACCGACCTGTTTTGGTAAATATACTTACAGCATCATTGACCAGGAGTGAAAACAATGGAAACCCTTAAATGTAAATGCTGTAATGTCTATAATTGATTTATGTTTTTAAACTTAAATCCAATCAATAAGATCACCTTTAGTTTCACTATTTCTTCTTGAAGTTTGGAACTGAAATACACCTCTTTGGGGCATCTCACTTGGTTTTAGGGACTTTTACAGCAAACTGCATCTCAACCATTTGATAAAGGCCTATAGCAGTAAAATAAATAAAAAATTGGGGTTAAGAGAAAAAAGTAAAATATACATTGCTTTCTTCAATGAGTGAATGTTAAAGGGATAAAGTTATGCCTGTGTCTGCGTAGGTTTCCTCCGGGTGCTCCGGTTTCCCCTCCCCCTAAAAACATGCACAATAGGTCTGAATGTAAATGAGAGAGTGAATGATGGTGTTGGAGCTGATGGTCCAGTGTGTTCTGGACTCGCTTCTGTCATCACCGTGTGTGGAAGGATTGGAACAATATCTGACTCTGAACATTGGAAAGTGCTTTGGGTCTGTACCTTGGTCTGTAAAATGTGCCTTATCAAATAAACATTACATTACTAAATGATTTATAGTTTCTATTTGCACCTAGCTGAAAACATTTCTACTTTAAACTGCAATATTCACGTTTCTCTATCGCCAATCGACTGCTGAAGCAAACCAAATGCTTTCAGACTGAAGTAAAAGTAAAAATCCTTCTCTACACGCGGCCAGAGAACCTGCCGCGATGGATTGATTTGATCTACGCCGCATAGCTCCGACTTGATTCGATAGCGGCATTTGTGTTTGCGATGTTGCCAGTGTGGGGAGGGAAAAAAAAGACTTTGTTGAGCGGGTGAAAAAGCAAAGAAGACAGAAGTTAGAATGAAATTGTGGAGCTGACAAGAGTCGGTGTGAGTTTGAGGTAAAATAGTTGTAAATGAAGTGAAAGACTCTGGGTTATTGAGAAACACGTTTGATGGAATATGTTCATGTTCAAAATTCAGGCTTTCACCAACTTCTGCAACTCTGAAGAAGACTGTAGCTTCAGTGGGATCCCCTGTGGCGTCTGTGGGATCAGCTGTGGCGTCTGTGGGATCAGCTGTGGCGTCTGTGGGATCAGCTGTGGCGTCTGTGGGATCCCCTGTGGCGTCTGTGGGATCAACTGTGGCGTCTGTGGGATCCGCTGTGGCGTCTGTGGGATCAGCTGTGGCGTCTGTGGGATCAGCTGTGGCGTCTGTGGGATCAACTGTGGCGTCTGTGGGATCCGCTGTGGCATCTGTGGGATCAGCTGTGGCGTCTGTGGGATCAGCTGTGGCGTCTGTGGGATCAGCTGTGGCGTCTGTGGGATCAGCTGTGGGATCAACTGTGGCGTCTGTGGGATCAGCTGTGGCGTCTGTGGGATCAGCTGTGGCGTCTGTGGGATCAGCTGTGGCGTCTGTGGGATCAGCTGTGGCGTCTGTGGGATCAGCTGTGGCATCTGTGGGATCAGCTGTGGCGTCTGTGGGATCAGCTGTGGCGTCTGTGGGATCAGCTGTGGCGTCTGTGGGATCAGCTGTGGCGTCTGTGGGATCAACTGTGGCGTCTGTGGGATCAGCTGTGGCGTCTGTGGGATCAACTGTGGCGTCTGTGGGATCCGCTGTGGCGTCTGTGGGATCAGCTGTGGCGTCTGTGGGATCAACTGTGGCGTCTGTGGGATCAGCTGTGGCGTCTGTGGGATCAACTGTGGCGTCTGTGGGATCCGCTGTGGCGTCTGTGGGATCAGCTGTGGCGTCTGTGGGATCAACTGTGGCGTCTGTGGGATCAGCTGTGGCGTCTGTGGGATCAGCTGTGGGATCAACTGTGGCGTCTGTGGGATCAGCTGTGGCGTCTGTGGGATCAGCTGTGGCGTCTGTGGGATCAGCTGTGGCGTCTGTGGGATCAGCTGTGGCGTCTGTGGGATCAGCTGTGGCATCTGTGGGATCAGCTGTGGCGTCTGTGGGATCAGCTGTGGCGTCTGTGGGATCAGCTGTGGCGTCTGTGGGATCAGCTGTGGCGTCTGTGGGATCAACTGTGGCGTCTGTGGGATCAGCTGTGGCGTCTGTGGGATCAACTGTGGCGTCTGTGGGATCCGCTGTGGCGTCTGTGGGATCAGCTGTGGCGTCTGTGGGATCAACTGTGGCGTCTGTGGGATCAGCTGCGGCGTCTGTGGGATCAACTGTGGCGTCTGTGGGATCCGCTGTGGCGTCTGTGGGATCAGCTGTGGCGTCTGTGGGATCAACTGTGGCGTCTGTGGGATCAGCTGTGGCGTCTGTGGGATCAGCTGTGGCGTCTGTGGGATCAGCTGTGGGATCAGCTGTGGCGTCTGTGGGATCAGCTGTGGCATCTGTGGGATCAGCTGTGGCGTCTGTGGGATCAGCTGTGGCGTCTGTGGGATCAGCTGTGGCGTCTGTGGGATCAACTGTGGCGTCTGTGGGATCAGCTGTGGCGTCTGTGGGATCAGCTGTGGCGTCTGTGGGATCCGCTGTGGCGTCTGTGGGATCAGCTGTGGCGTCTGTGGGATCAGCTGTGGCGTCTGTGGGATCAGCTGTGGCGTCTGTGGGATCAACTGTGGCATCTGTGGGATCAACTGTGGCGTCTGTGGGATCAGCTGTGGCGTCTGTGGGATCAGCTGTGGCGTCTGTGGGATCAGCTGTGGGATCAGTCTGTGGGATCAGCTGTGGCGTCTGTGGGATCAACTGTGGCGTCTGTGGGATCAGCTGTGGCGTCTGTGGGATCAGCTGTGGCGTCTGTGGGATCAGCTGTGGCGTCTGTGTGGGATCAACTGTGGCGTCTGTGGGATCAGCTGTGGCGTCTGTGGGATCAGCTGTGGCGTCTGTGGGATCAGCTGTGGGATCAGCTGTGGCGTCTGTGGGATCAACTGTGGCGTCTGTGGGATCAGCTGTGGCGTCTGTGGGATCAACTGTGGCGTCTGTGGGATCCGCTGTGGCGTCTGTGGGATCAGCTGTGGCGTCTGTGGGATCAACTGTGGCGTCTGTGGGATCAACTGTGGCGTCTGTGGGATCAGCTGTGGCGTCTGTGGGATCAGCTGTGGCGTCTGTGGGATCCGCTGTGGCGTCTGTGGGATCAGCTGTGGCGTCTGTGGGATCAACTGTGGCATCTGTGGGATCCGCTGTGGCGTCTGTGGGATCAGCTGTGGCGTCTGTGGGATCAGCTGTGGCGTCTGTGGGATCAGCTGTGGCGTCTGTGGGATCAGCTGTGGCGTCTGTGGGATCAGCTGTGGCGTCTGTGGGATCAGCTGTGGCGTCTGTGGGATCAGCTGTGGCGTCTGTGGGATCCCCTGTGGCGTCTGTGGGATCAGCTGTGGCGTCTGTGGGATCAGCTGTGGCGTCTGTGGGATCAGCTGTGGCGTCTGTGGGATCCGCTGTGGCGTCTGTGCGATCCGCCGTGGCGTCTGTGGGATCAGCCGTGGCGTCTGTGGGATCAGCTGTGGCGTCTGTGGGATCAGCTGTGGCGTCTGTGGGATCAGCTGTGGCGTCTGTGGGATCAGCTGTGGCGTCTGTGGGATCAGCTGTGGCGTCTGTGGGATCAGCTGTGGCGTCTGTGGGATCCGCTGTGGCGTCTGTGCGATCCGCCGTGGCGTCTGTGGGATCAGCCGTGGCGTCTGTGGGATCAGCTGTGGCGTCTGTGGGATCAGCTGTGGCGTCTGTGGGATCAGCTGTGGCGTCTGTGGGATCAGCTGTGGCGTCTGTGGGATCCGCCGTGGCGTCTGTGGGATCAGCTGTGGCGTCTGTGGGATCAGCTGTGGCGTCTGTGCGATCCGCCGTGGCGTCTGTGGGATCAGCTGTGGCGTCTGTGGGATCAGCTGTGGCGTCTGTGGGATCAGCTGTGGCGTCTGTGGGATCAGCTGTGGCGTCTGTGGGATCAGCTGTGGCGTCTGTGGGATCAGCTGTGGCGTCTGTGGGATCCCCTGTGGCGTCTGTGGGATCAGCTGTGGCGTCTGTGGGATCAGCTGTGGCGTCTGTGGGATCAGCTGTGGCGTCTGTGGGATCCGCTGTGGCGTCTGTGGGATCAGCTGTGGCGTCTGTGGGATCAGCTGTGGCGTCTGTGGGATCAGCTGTGGCGTCTGTGGGATCAGCTGTGGCGTCTGTGGGATCCCCTGTGGCGTCTGTGGGATCAGCTGTGGCGTCTGTGGGATCAGCTGTGGCGTCTGTGGGATCAGCTGTGGCGTCTGTGGGATCCGCTGTGGCGTCTGTGCGATCCGCCGTGGCGTCTGTGGGATCAGCCGTGGCGTCTGTGGGATCAGCTGTGGCGTCTGTGGGATCAGCTGTGGCGTCTGTGGGATCAGCTGTGGCGTCTGTGGGATCAGCTGTGGCGTCTGTGGGATCCGCCGTGGCGTCTGTGGGATCAGCTGTGGCGTCTGTGGGATCAGCTGTGGCGTCTGTGCGATCCGCCGTGGCGTCTGTGGGATCAGCTGTGGCGTCTGTGGGATCAGCTGTGGCGTCTGTGGGATCAGCTGTGGCGTCTGTGGGATCAGCTGTGGCGTCTGTGGGATCAGCTGTGGCGTCTGTGGGATCAGCTGTGGCGTCTGTGGGATCAGCTGTGGCGTCTGTGGGATCCCCTGTGGCGTCTGTGGGATCAGCTGTGGCGTCTGTGGGATCAGCTGTGGCGTCTGTGGGATCAGCTGTGGCGTCTGTGGGATCCGCTGTGGCGTCTGTGCGATCCGCCGTGGCGTCTGTGGGATCAGCCGTGGCGTCTGTGGGATCAGCTGTGGCGTCTGTGGGATCAGCTGTGGCGTCTGTGGGATCAGCTGTGGCGTCTGTGGGATCAGCTGTGGCGTCTGTGGGATCCGCCGTGGCGTCTGTGGGATCAGCTGTGGCGTCTGTGGGATCAGCTGTGGCGTCTGTGCGATCCGCCGTGGCGTCTGTGGGATCAGCTGTGGCGTCTGTGGGATCAGCTGTGGCGTCTGTGGGATCAGCTGTGGCGTCTGTGGGATCAGCTGTGGCGTCTGTGGGACTATGCCCAAATACAGGCGAGTTCCGCTAATATGTCAGCGACCGTGCCGGCACAAAGCGCCACTGAGCACAACCATCATTTGAATGACGGCGTCCTCTTGGATCGCCGGGGCTGGGTCCAAAGGCCAAAGCTCTACCAACTGAGCCACTGTCTCCAAACTGTCATGGTTTTTGTGTGTATTAGCTGCAAATGTTGATTTTTTTTGCTTCAATCACAGACTTAGAGCTTAGATAAATAATCGTGTTTTAGAACTGGTCAGAATATTGTTTTATTGTTTTTACCCGTTTACGACTTACTCGTTATTACACGTTTGGTTATAAGAAAAGTGAAGACGGGATCTGATCGAAGTAAAGAATCAGGTTGACAGCATTTCTTCTAAAACAGCATTGATAACCCGCATGCGCTGCCCTCTGGTGGACAAAACAATAGCCGCTTAAACTTTTTTTTGGGAGATATCACAAGCATATAAATATTGGAATATATTCAAAGTTTAATACGCCAAATAAATTCAAATCTTGTTTTTGAGCTTAAGTCCCAGGCCTACTGGTTATCTCACGCCAGAGTTCATATGTTTGTGTAAGCTCTCAGTCGTACAGGGATTAGTCAAAGCAAAGGATAGGTGAGAAACCTTCCTTTGCTCAAAGTTCATATGTTTTCTCGTCCATAGCTAAAAGGTGGCGGTGATGTCTGCTATAGCCAACACAAATGATGTCTAACAGCCACAATCAGAGAGTCTGCAGAGAAGACAAACAGGCTAATACCCAATCTTTGCCAAGAAAGAACCAATCCAGTGATCTCTCAAATTAAGTTTTTGTGTGTCCAAACATGATCCAAGTTCTCCTTCTTTCAGAAAGACCACAACAACTTGACAGACACCACTGAAGTGAAAGCAGAATAAGACATGATTTTAAAAAAGTAAAAAAGGCATACAAAACTGAAAATATATACAACTAGAGAAAAATCTTTTCTGGGACCTTCTTTTAGTTGAGGGTTTGACTCTATAGTAGCCTGGTCGTACCACACCATAGTACAAATTACATTTAATACTAAGGTCTGGAGCTGGTGGTCTGGTGCTATGAGACTTGGGTGGCATCTCTGACTGTCACCCCCCTGACCCAGAAATGGATTAAAGGGAAGAAAATGGATGGATGGACTAAGGTCTGGAGCTGATCCATTAAGGTCTATTTACAGGTGGGAGGGGCTAACTCCTTTTGCAGATTGAAACCATTGGATCTGAGTTTACTGTGACGTATGTAGTGCGCTCAAGTGAGTCGTTAGCATTTAGCCTAGCTTTAGCCATCTCCTTTGCTGTTAACGGAGCCCGTGGGGAGTAGAGCCACAATTTTCCCAGCGATTACATTTGCTAAACATTACCCTTGCTCCGGTTTCATTTTCTTGATAGAACCAGACCAGAATACTTTACTATCGTATTTTTACCAAACTACAACCCGTCTGTTCAACGCAAACTCCTGCCTTCCGCGCTCGCTGATTGGTTGGTCAAAATTCAACCGATTGTAATCGCTAAACACAGGGACCAGACCCAGACGTTACCTGCAGGACATGATGATGAACGGAGTGTACGGATGGATAAGGCCAGGGTAACTCTGGCGGCACCCACAGATACACACATACCATAAAACACAGACTGCATTGATCATGTATTTTACTTGCAGTATTAATGATGTACTTTCTTTATATTTGGCCCAGTTGGGGATGAATCCAAATCTATCAGAAAAAAACATCAAAACTCATGTGAAATATACAGTTAATTTGCCAAAAAAGAAAAACATGTACAATAATAATAATATTCTTTACCACTTTTACACTCAAACTGAGGCTCAAACTAGCTTCAATGGTTTTCCAAATTGGCCCCCGAGCAAAAGGACTTTGACTTGTCTGCCCCAGATGAACAAAGCTTGTAATATGGAGTAATAGCCAAAAAGACAGACGTAAAAAAGGGTTCCAGAAAGTTGTGTGTTTTCAGATATGAATGTGTGTTTTTTCATTCTGCTTTCACTTCAGTGGTGTCCGTTAAGTCGTTGTGGTCTCGCTGAAAGAAGGAGCACTTGGATCATGTTTGGACGGTTTGGATGAGTGGATTGTGAACTGGATTAAAAACAAAAAAAAACTTAATTTGAGAGATCACTGGAATGATTCTCCCTTTGCAAAGATTGGATAATACGCCTGTTTGCCTTCCGTCTTCTCTGCACACTCTCTGATTGTAGCTGTTAGACATCATTTGTGTTGGCTGTAGCAGACATCACCACTACTTTTCAACTATGGACGAGAGAAAATGTGACCTTTTGGCGTGAGATAACCAGCTCACCTCCAGCCGAGAGCTCAGTAATGCAAATGTAGAAACCCACTGCACCACTGCCTGCCTATGCATTTATTCTGCATCAATATAACTGTACACATTCAAACTTCCATTTCCCCAGAGCTCATTTAAACCCGGTCTTATTGTTGGCACAGCTAAATACTGAATCCAATCCATACAGTGCGTTTTATTTACCCTTCTCCCCGTATCGCTTGCCAGTCAGCGAACGAGGGGCTCTTTTTTACCTCTATTTTTCCGAAGCTAAATGTCACTTTGTGTGCCTCCCTCGTAAATCTGATTAGCTATTTTGGTGCCAAAGCCTGTAGCAATTGTGTGTGTGTTGTTTGTGTAAATATGTGTTGCTGGGAGCTGAATGGGAGAGATACAGAGGTGGTAATTATGATGCAACCTCAGCAGAGATAAAGGAAGTTCACGTAAGGACGCCACGGTTTCATGCGAGTCACTGACAGACGTGGATTTGCTGACGGAACGCACGGCTTCGGTTTCCTCCTGTCAAATGTGTTACTAATATATATGGGAGGAAAAAAACTCACAAAATGGACTCTGTGTGAAAGTCTAAATCGTACTAGTTCTTCACTCTCAAAGCATTTTGGTTCTATCTCTATAGTTTTCAGGTGTATGGTTGGTCACAAACTGGTTAAAAACAACTGGTTAAAAACAACTGGTCAATAAGTTTAAAGACTGAACTCTGAATAAATGAAGATGTCGTTTCCATTATGAAACCCTCACGCATGCTTTAAGAAACCTCGAGCTGGACCATTGAGAACGTTTGGGGTGAGAAGTAGCTTTAAGATTTCAAGAGCCACTGTCTGGAGGTAAAATCTGGTTTGGAACAGCGGTCATGTACTATTTCATTGGGTATTTTCAGTCCAGTCTAACCAGCGCTCCATGGTATCCTCGTGCTCCTGGTGTGTGTGACTGTATTTCACTGTCACACACCTCTCATCATGAACCTGCCTCTCAGCGTTGTTTCCGGCCCCGTGTGAAACGTGGCCTTCTCTTGACCTTGTGGTTGCTGTATAATGACTCACTGATGTAGAGACGCTGTTTATTTTTTTGTGCTCTCTGAATAAACTGAGAAGATAAACAGAAATACTGGAATAAACAAACCAGGCACACATTTGCACACATAACTATTCAAGCAGTAATATGAATATGTACAGTACTTTTGAGTCATACACACCTGTGCTGCTACCAGCTTTGATTGATACATAAAGTAATAGAAATATAGGTTTTTAGCGTTCTTGTCAAAGTGTAGGGACCGTGGACAAAACACTGAGCTAAACTCCATTCATAAAGTTAAAGGTGCACTTTATTCATCCCCGTAGGGCAATTCATCCTCTGCATTTGACCCTGATGCCCTAAGGCTTACGTCAGGAGCAGTGGTCGCCGTAGTAACAGCGCCCGGAAACCCATCTCCAGATGTTGATGCTCGGCTTGGTCAGGACCAGAGCTGGAGGATTTAACCTAGTGTGCATGTTTTTACGCAACCTAAACAAGCACGGGGAGAACATGCAAACACCACTCAGAAAGACCCCAGGATCTTCTTGCTGAGAGGCGAGAGTGCTATCCATGACAAGAAACTGCAAGAAAATTACCAAAATATTCAGTTTCACATGAATGATGATGTTGACCAGGCCCACTACCAATGCAGATTATCTCAGCATAGACCATTTTAGCATAAGGGTTTTATTTGCAAAACTTAGATACATAGGAGGATTTTCTACTTCCGGGTAGAACATCAAGACTGTCAATCATTCTGGTGATACGTGCTCGTCCAATCAGACCAGAGAGTTTTGTTCTGAAAGTGGAGAGGGCGGTTCTTTCCTAACATTTGGGATAATCCTCCTATAAACCTTTAATCATGTTTTTTTACTGACCTAATTGCAATTTTTATAAACATTGATCCACGTGTAAATAAGACCCCGTCCACACGTAGCCAGGTATCTGCAAAACCAAAGATCTTTCTCTTAGTTTGCACAATGGGTACAGTGGCTAGATGCAGCGAAGTGGTCACGGGGACTCAAGCTCGAAAACAACCAAAGCAGGAGCTAAACCAGGGCTAAACCAGGACTAAACCAGGGCTGAGGACGGGGGTCAGTGCTCGTAAACATTTGTCTTCATCCTGAGTTCCTACTGTGACTGTTAATAAGTGCTACTACAGAAGTGCCGGCGTCTGCAGCTGCAGCTGACCGAGCTCGGTGCTTTTACAGGGTTCATAAACAGGAAGTGACATCACATCTTTACTTTATTGACAACTACTAACAACTTGACTTCCGCAAAATTCTAAACACAGGGTTGTATGGATGTAGTGCCTCAGAGAGAGAAGGTCCAAACCCTGGACCAGTGACGGCCTCTGGTGTGGCGTTTGCAGTGATTGAGTGGTTTGCGTCTGGGTTCTCCGCTCTCCCCATCAGCCCGACACGTTGGTGGCAGTGGAAGGATGAAAGAAATGCAGATTCTCTTTGTCCTTATCAACTCTCTGACATGGGTTTCAATTATGTATTTTAAATATGTCATTATGGTAGTACAGGTACTAGGTCATGCTGGGACTTTGAGGAGCACAGGGACTGGCCTCCTGCTGGGACTTTGAGGAGCACAGGGACTGGCCTCCTGCTGGGACTCTGAGGAGCACAGGGACTGGCCTCCTGCTGGGACTCTGAGGAGCACAGGGACTGGCCTCCTGCTGGGGACTCTGAGGAGCACAGGGACTGGCCTCCTGCTGGGACTCTGAGGAGCACAGGGACTGGCCTCCTGCTGGGACTCTGAGGAGCACAGGGACTGGACTCTGAGGAACATAGGGACTGGTAACTCCTGCTGACCGGGGTCCCAGAGTCAGAACTAAACATAGGGAGGCTGCATTTCAGATTCATGCAGCTAAAAACTGGAACAATCTTCCTGTAAATGTGAGGCCGAGCTTCCCACTGACAATGTTTAAATCCCGGTTAAAAACAGTTCAGTGCTGGAGGATTGTACCTGTGCTCTTGTTACTTGCGTGACTGTCTTTATCTTTAAAATAAACTTGCCTCGCCATAAGTCTAACCTGATATTGGAGTCATTATTAGTTGTATTTCAAATTCATTTACAGCTTTCAAACTGGAGTTAGGGCAAGACTGTTTGTACGCCTCGACTCTTCTGCAGCGCGAGAGAAAGAAATATCCCAAATATTATTGCATTTGGTTAAAAATCTATGTCTTGCTCTCATCCACAAAGTTTACAAATCCTTTTAAGCAATAACTGTGATTATACAATGCTTCGGGGCAGACTTTCCAACTCCTGAAACTCACTATTCCTCTGTTTCCAGCAGTTAATGAAACATACAAATATATAAACTATTAGATTTGTCTTGCACAATGGCGGGTTGTCGGTGCCGTGTCCTAAATTACCCTGAGGCGCGTTGTTGCATTCTGTGTTTCTGTGTCTCGACCAAAATATTGATAAAAGATAAGTTAAGCCTCGCAGACAGTGTTTGTGAGTAATCTGAATAATGCAGGTCTTATTAAATATTAAAGAAGACATGTTATGCCGAATCAATGTTTGGGCTTTTACGGGTCGGTAATGTGGTTTTTGGATTCTCCCAAGGCTTTTGTTTTTGGTTTCATTCAAGCATGTGCGCTGAGGAGATCCATTTGATATTACCTCCTTCAGAACTGAACCTTCAACAGCCTCGTGCCCACTGCACAAAAACGATGGAATTTCAATATAAAACCCCAGGCATTTAACCCAGCATGTGAGATCATAATACTTTTTTAATTCGTACGCACCATTTAGTTAAAACACAAGTTAAATACAGTTAATATTGTTTGAATAGTAAGTAAGTAATGAGTATTTATATTGCACATTTTACAAACTAAGGTCACCCAAAGCGCTTTACAATGTTGAGAAACCAGATATTTTATTTAATACATGTTAAGATACAGTAAAAAGCAGCATAAACAGAGGATTGTGTGGTTATGGTGTGAGTGCGTCGGCTTAGTTCTAAACAGAGGAGTTTTTAGGTGGATTTGAAATGTGTGAATGAATCGCTGTTAAGGAGGTCAGCGAGAAGAGTTTTCCAGAGCTGGGTGGGCAGGAGGTAACCTTGCCTGCAAGCTGAATTCTCGTGGTATTTGTGAGTTCACAAACACTCGAGAATACATCTTGTCCCGCTCCCTACCAACCCTTTTCGAGTAGAACATCTAGGTGTTCAAGCCAATCATGCGCCAGTCTGGGGTTTAGGGCGGGATAGTGCCGGGCCGAAGCAAAACAAACATGGCTACGCAGGAGGACGGACGACCCCACGCGTAGCTGAGGCTATCAAGTCAGTTTTAGCAGAATCTCCAATTTCTTTTTTGAAAGATGAACAGCGAGAGGCGCTTTGTGCATTTCTGGACGGCAAAGATGTTTGTGCATTTTTACCTACGGGTTTTGGTAGGCGGGCACACAGCGTCACTTCGCCCAATCAGCTTGAAGTATTCTGCTGCTTATCCCTCCTTTCCCCGAAAGGATTCTCCTGCAGAAGTCCCAGATTGATATTGTGGAGAACGCATTAGAGTTCTACACAATCATCAATCTGGCTCTTGCCAGGTTAGGCAAGGCAAGGCAAGGCAAGTTTATTTGTATAGCACAATTCATACACAAGGCAACTCAAAGTGCTGAACAAGATAGCATTAAAATCATAAATAATCACAGAACATTAAAACGAAAGATAAAAATATAAAATCCCTCAGTTGTATGCACAGCTAAACAGCACCGTTTTAACTTGGTTTTAAACATTGTCAGAGAGGAGGCCTGTCTCACATCTTCAGGAAGATTGTTCCAGATTTTAGCAGCATGAATCTGAAAAGCAGCCTCCCCATGTTTAGTTCTGACTCTGGCCACTAACAGGAGTCCAGTCCCTGTGCTCCTCAGAGTCCCAGCAGGAGTCCAGTCCCTGTGCTCCTCAGAGTCCGGGCTGGTTCATATGGGACTAACATGTCACTAATATATTTTGGTGCGAGGCTATGGAGAGACTTGTACACAAGCAAAAGCTGTTTTAAAGTTTATTCTCTGAGCCACAGGAAGCCAGTGCAGGGACCTGAGAACTGGACTAATGTGGTCGTACTTCCTGGTTCTAGTCAGGACTCGAGCTGCTGCATTTTGAATGTACTGCAGCTGTTTTACAGCCTGTTTGGACAGACCTGTGAGCAGGCCATTGCAGTAGTCTAACCTACTGGAGACAAATGCATGGATAAGAATCTCCAAGTCTGCTTTAGACACTATGTTTTTGATCCTGGCAATGTTTTTTAGATGGTAAAAAGCTACTGATGTTACTGATTTGATGTGGCTATTAAAATTTAAGTCTGAGTCCAGTATTACCCCTAGATTTTTTAACTTGTTTGAAGGTTTTAGGGAGAGAGACTGTAGATGAAGATGACGCTCTCTCGCTGACGCTATCATTTCAGTTTTGTCTGCGTTTAGCTGAAGGAAGTTGTTTTGCATCCACTCACTGATCTGTTGGATACAGTGAAGGAGTGAGTCCACTGGTCCATGTTCTCCTGCAGTCAGTGAGACATAGATCTGAGTGTCGTCTGCGTAGTTGTGATAGGACACTTTGTTTCTGCGTATTAACTGACCTAACGGCAGCATGTAGAGATTGAACAGAAGAGGTCCCAGGATCGACCCCTGTGGGACTCCACAGGTCAGGGCCATATGATCTGAGACACAGTTTCCAATCTCCACAAAGTACTTCCTGTCTTCAAGGTAAGACCTAAACCAACTTAGGGCGGTGCCAGCGACGCCAACCCAGTCCTCTAGTCTCTGTAAGAGGATCTCATGGTCGACAGTGTCAAAGGCAGCACTCAGATCTAACAAGAATTAGATTGAGACTTTGCCTGCGTCAGTGTTCAGCCGGATATCATTTGTAACCTTGACGAGAGCAGTCTCAGTGCTGTGGTGGGGTCTAAAGCCGGACTGAAACATATCAAATGAGTTGTTGATTATAAGAAATCTGGTAAGCTGTAGGTAGACAACTTTTTCAAGGACTTTCCCCATAAATGGCAGATTTGAGATGGGACGATAGTTGTTAAGTACCGTAGCATCCAGACTGCTCTTTTTTAGCAGGGGCCTGATGACTGCAGTTTTCAGGGCCTTTGGGAATATTCCAGAATTAAGGGACATGTTTACTATCTGTGTGAGTGAAGGTAACAGACTGCTCAGAACAGACTTTAGAAATCTAGTGGGTAGTACATCCAGGCTGCATGTGGAGGAGCTCAAACTGGAGATTATCTCTTGGACAGTTTGATCATTTACAGGTGCAAAGTAAGTTAGCTCAAAGAGCCTTTCTGGCTGTTGGATTGTTATCTGTGGATTGGAGACAATGGCGTTTTTGATGCCTTGAACCTTGTCATTGAAAAAATGTGCAAACTCATTACATTTACGTTTGGAAGTTAGCTCTAATGGCATTTGAACAGGGGGGTTTGTTAATCTATTAACTGTTGAAAACAGAACACGCAGATTGTTGCTGCAGCCTTCAATCATTTCAGAAAAATACCTTTCTTTCGTACTACGTAGCACCTGGTTAAACTCGCACAACTTATCCTTGAAGATCTTGTAATCAACCTGGAGGTTGGACTTGCGCCACTTCCGCTCGGCCCTCCGGCACTCTCTCTTTTGTGCCCTGACCGAGTCTGCTATAGCCCACGGCGCCTTCTGCTTATTTTTCACTATTTTAACCTTCACAGGAGCGATGGTGTCCAGAACTTTCAAAACACCAGAGGTGACAGAGTTAAACAGTTCATCTACAGTAGAATACGATGCATTCTCAAAGTTTATCATTCCCATAAATAGTTCACCCGTATTTTCATTTATGTGTCTTCTTCGTACAGTTGCAGAGTCCACTGGTGGTTTGTTAGTGAAACACATGTCAAAAAAATATACAAAAATGATCCGAAAGCGCAACATCGACCACGTTTACATTAGAAATGTTCACCCCCTTTGTAACTAACAGGTCTAGAGTGTGCCCTCTGCTGTGGGTGGGGCCACTCACATGCTGAGTGAGACCAAAAATTCAAGAACAGAACTCAGCTCTTTAGCATTTCTGTCATCAACATTATCCACATGAATATTAAAATCACCTGTAATAACTAAACTATCAAATCTGTGCAAAACTGAAAGCAACTCTGTAAAATTATCAATAAAACTGTGACATGACTGCGGTGGCTTGTATAGGACAACGAAAAGTATTGGAGGAGATTGTTTTTGTTGTATTTTAAAAGACACATATTCAAAAGACGGAAACTTCCCAAGAGACATTCTATGGGAGACAAAGTGGCCTCTAAAAATGGCAGCTGAGCCTCCTCCTTTTTTGTTTTCCCGTATTTCAGATTCAAATTTGAAATTTGGTGGTGATGCTTCTATTAAAACTGCATTTTCTGTATTTTGGTCAAGCCATGTT